GGTTTTTTTTGGGGGGGGGGGGTAACATTATTTTATAGACATAATATTGCAGCCAATGGGTTTATTAACATTTTTACTTATCTCCCTATTGTTGGTCCTTCAGGTTGCTTGCCATTTTCACACTTCTGTGTAATGCTATAAAAAAACAAAAATAACTGTATCTATAAACTATTTTCCATATTTTGGAAGTATAAGATACTTAACACATATTCTTAACATATTCTTAACATTAATGTTAAAGAAGGCATAAAGCATGGAAAGCAAGAGATATATATTTGACCATAAAACTTAAGATTTCTGTATGTTAAAAAAAAATGTTAAAAAACTCCCTGGCCGGCGTTGCTTAGCACGTGAGCATCGACCTTGATCCAGGAGATCGTGGTTCGATTCCCAGTCAGAGCACATGACTGGGTTGCAGGCTCGATCCCCAGCAGGAAATGTGCAGGAGGCAGCCAATCAATGATTCTCTCATCTTTGATGTTTCCATCTCTCCCTCTCCCTTCCTCTCTCTGAAATCAAGAAAGACATTTTTAAAAAAAGTTAAAAAGCAAATTTAGAAAATGTGATAAAGGTGTTTTTTTTATAAAAATAGTTCATTCAAATCGATAAGGAAAACATTGAATCTACAGTAAAGAGACAAAGAACATTTAGAAATGATTAAAAAATCAGTAAACTAATGAAACTCTTGGGAAAAAATGTTCACAATAGTAATAAAAAATTGTATTATAATGATAGGAAGGTGTACTATTTTTGTCTTTCATATTAGCAAGGCTTAATCAGAGTTTCTGATTCAACAGATGGGGCCCCGAAGTGTCTGTTTGTAACATGTTTCTGTGTGAGGCTGAGGCTACTGGTCCTGTGTTGATAAGAAGTGTAGTAAAAAAGGCACAATTGTTTGTTGCTAGTGGCAGTGTAAACCACCACTTAAAACTTTATTTGAAAAGCAGTAGTATGTATCAGAACCCTTAAAATATTTAGATATTTTTATTCTTTAAATCTGGCCTTTATCCTTTCCATTTTTTTTAATCCTCACCTGAGGATATTTTTTTCCATTGCTTTTCAGAGAGAGTGGAAGGGGGGAGAGAGAGAGAGAGAGAGAGAGAGAGAGAGAGAGAGAGA